ATACCTGTGGACTGACTTGTCTGTCCACTAACAATGAAATGTGAAAATGTAGAAACAACAAAGAGCCAAGCAGTCAAGATAGACTGGGGCCTGGACTGCCATGCTTGGGCTGTAGGCTTACCATTTATACACCCAACTCTATATTTCATAAAATATTGAAAATAAAAATACCAAAATATAGGCCAGAATTGGGGCGCTGGTAAATTAGGTGAGGAAAAAGAGTTGTTACTATGCGACACACCTTCAAAACTACTTGCCATAACCCTCCCAGAACACTTCCTTGATACATTTCGTGTGCAATAGCTGTTGGATGGGCGAATAAATAAATGCATAGATTACTGAATATTTTTTAAACCTGGGACTTTTCAAAGTAAGCTTCTTACCATTGAGAAAGATCATTAATATACAAATAGAATATTTGACTTCAAGCTGTTGAAGAAAATTGAAATTCTATACTGAGTTTGAAAATTAATCTCTGAAGGTCACTTTTCATTTTACTTGAAAAACATATTTACTTGCACAATATCTTGACAAAGAAATATCTTTCTGTAATTTAGCTGAGTTACTGACTTCAAAGGATGCTAGCAGAGTTAATTGAACCCAGATTAGTGAGTGATATTGTAGGCAGTGCATTAAATTTCTCAAGGATGCGGTAAAGCTTTCAGTGATTAAACACGTTTTCCATAAAAATATAACAATTTCATGCAATAAATATTCACAATCTTTTACAGGTCAGTGGTCTTGAAACTATCAAAACATACCCTTTTTAAAATTAAATTTGTTTGTTGCCAATTTCATATAGTATGTAATGCTTTCTGATTCTCTTTCTGATTACTCTCCCCCATCTCTTTTGTCTCCCTCTCCTCACTATCAATCCCCTACTTCTTCCTATCTGTGTATATTAGTTACTCTTCTGTTGCTGCGATAAAACACTTTGACCAAGGCCTCTTATAAAAGGAAGAGTTTATTTGGTTTATGATTCCAGAGAGACTAGAATTCATCATGACAAGGAGCCATGGCAGGAGGCAGCCAGATCAGAAAGCTGAGGGTTCACATCTTTAAGCAGGCATGGGAAACAAGCTGGAAATCTTGCAAGGCCTCTGAGCCTGCTCCCAGTGACTGCTTCCTCCAGCATGGCCGTACCTCCTAAAGGTTCCATGACCCTCCCCAAATAGTAGCATGTACTGGAGACCAAGTGTCCAAATATTTGGAGCTATGGGGACACTCATTCAATCCACTGAAATGTCTTTTTCCCAGATTCAAAAATTTTTGTTGTTTTGTGACCCATTTAAGTTTAACCAGGGTCATGACAAGTGGTTGGAACTACCCCACTGGCACCTGGTGGGGTCACTGGTGGGTACCCAGCTGAAAGCAACTACTCCCCTACTCTCTGAATCTATCAGCAGCAAACAGCACAGCCGTGAGGCATAGGATCCTGTGAGGCTCTTCTGCATCCAAAATAAACCCTTCAGTATTATAGGAAAGCTCCTTGTTCTTAGAAGAAATCTAACTTTATGGACACATGCTAGAGAAAATGCAAGGATTTAACCAAAACTTTTATGGTCATGGGTACATAAACATCTACTAATCTTTTCCCTCACTCATCAGTCAACATTTAAAATCCATTCAGAGTTTTGCTTTTTCAAAGGAAATTGCTTTAGCAGTCCCTTAATGCTTCTTTCAACGCTCCTGTTTGAAGGGAAGCAAAACAAAATGCGTGGTCTCTGTTTTAGCTTTACATTCAAATCAAAGCTAGCTCGATGATATTTGATTTGGGGTTTTAATAATTTATTTTTACAAGCAACATATTTTCCATGCTGTTCACTAGATAAATCACATGCAAAATACATCTCTCAAATAACCAAGGCAATTTATCCACAGTATGGAATGTCTGGATACAAACCAAGTAAATTTTAGAAGTCAGCTGCCCAAACCAATGAAATATGGTAATTTACCACGACCACAGGCCCACACCGAAACTGTATGCATTGGGTGCGCACAACATTTATTATATATTTCAAAGGTATTCACAAATCTCCTGATGCTTCAAGGGCTCCAGATGTGCCTCTTACAAATATCAAAATTGTACTCTGCTGTGAATTTGAACAGAGAAAAGATTTTCCTTAGAACATAGTTCTAGAAAAAGGAGTGTCTTATTTAAAGGGCTCCATTCTTAATAATCCTCCACATAGCTTCAACCAGCTACAGTGTCTTTGCAAACTCATCCCAAAGGAGAAACTCAGCATCATGGAAAAACAGATGGGTCATGATATTCTTGCTGGAGTGTAGAGGTTCCCATTCACCAGGAAGAGCTCTGAGGGGCAATGGACACAGAGGGCAGACTGGAGATTTCCCTCAGGCAGAAATCCTGCTCTTCTAGTTTCTAAGACATATTTGAAGACTGCCCTTAACTTAAGGAGAATTGGTTATGAAGCACAAAACAAGGACTCATCACGTTTCTTTAAGAGACGGAGTCAATGAATGCCACTTGTGGGGGCAGCCTTGTATGATATAAGATGTGAACTCATGGGTGGGGGAATAGGTGTTCTTAGAAAGCAGATCTGATGGGGGGCAGGAGGGTAGGAATGGAAAGCACTAGAAATGGAATCCAGCTACTATTAAGCCATTTTGCAGAATTTCAGTGGGTGTTCCAGCAATATTGAGCTGAATCAATAGTATGAAATCTAGACATTCAGTTCACATAATGACAAGACACAGATAAAAGCAATATATAATTCTATGGAACCTACAAGGGCATTTGAGACGTTTCAACACCAATGGTTGCAGCATTTCACTAAGGGTGAATTCTACAAACATCCTCTGATGTCAAAGTAGAACAGCTGCAGGTGTGACCTTGAGTTCCAGAGAGGAACAGCTGCAGGTGTGACCTTGAGTTCCAGAGAGGAACAGCTGCAGGTGTGACCTTGAGTTCCAGAGAGGAGGTGACATTGCTATTATTTGCAGTTGATATGATTTTGTTGTTGTTATTTAGAAAACCTGAGACTCAGCTAAAACTGGCCTATAATAAAAGCTTGATGTGATGACTGAAATAAATGGAGCGTTTCATATGAGTCATGATCACTAGCAGGTACAATAGACATCATAAGAATAGGGGCTGGAGAGATTGCTCAGTGGTTAAGAACACTGGTTGTTCTTGAAGAAGACCTGGGTTCTAATCCCAGCACCTACATGGCAGCTAACAACTGTCTGTAACTCCAGTTCCAGGGGATCCGACAGCCTCTTCTGACCTCCACAGGCATTGCATGATACAGGTGCGCTTACCTACATGCAGGCAGTACATGCATACACATAAAATAAAAATAATAAATAAAAAAATAAAAAAAGAATAGAATCAGGATGATCTCTTGTTATCAATTGCTAAAAAGGAGGCCTAAATGTGAAGTACTTTCCAGACATGTCTGTGGCCATACCACCCAAAGACCTGATCTCATCACACCTTAAGGACCTGCACTCGAATTATAAGATTTCATTAAGAGAAAAAGTGCATGAAAGAGAATTACCTATAACCCTTTCTTCTTTCAAGAGACAGGAAGGCCTTGGTTGTGCTGGTAGGAAACTGGGATCCTGAGTCAATATTGAAAGAGGGGACGTCCCTGTAAGATTAGTGGCACTCCTGTCATACCAGCGCTTGTGGGCTGAAACAGGAAGATTATGACTTTAAGGCTGGGTTGAACAAGATCTTGTCTCAAAGCGACAAGATCAGCAACAAAGATTAGGGCAGGAATCGGGGGCAAGAGAGAAGACGAGTGTGTGGGGGACAGTGGTTGCAGGTAGAGCTTTGGACAGTGAAGGTAGGATACCCGCTGTGGGGCTGTGGAGATAGATGCCAGTACAGTGCTTGCAAGGCCAGCACAAGGACCTGAGTTTGAGTCCCAGAACCCATAGTGCTTTCATGTAATTCCAGTGCTGGGGAGGTAGAGGCAGGTGGCTTTCTGGGGCTTTCTGGCAAGCTTACCTAGTGTAATTAGTGAGCTCCTGGTTACTGAGAGACCATGGTATATGGGGCCTGAGAAACATCCAAGGCTTCCACGTGCACCCTCACCTTCACACACATGCACCTGCCTCCCCCCCACGCCTCCCTCCCTCTCCCCAAGAGTACCACCCCAGTTCGGGGTTTGGGGAGAGAGCTGAGAAATGTGCTTTCGTTTCTTTGTTTAGATCTTTTTAAGTGGCAAAGCTTGCTAATGGCCATTCCTTCTGTGTCCTCATCTTCATGATAGACATTGGGAGGGCACGTGCGATTTAGAACAGACCTGTGCTTTCCTCGGATCTATGCTCACCCTCATGCTGGCACGAAGAGGGAACTAGGAAGGCCCAGTTTTATTTGGATTTTTTGACTATCTCGGAAATATAGCTCCAGGTTGAAGTGATTTCTTCAAGTCTGAATTACAGTGCTGCACTAAGATCATTACTATAATAAAATAAAGTGGTTCTTGAATTGTTTTCTTTGTGTATCCCCTTGCTCTCTGGGACTCTGCATGGCTGTCCATTGAGATCAATTTATAGACAGTCAGCAAGTCCTCTCAGTGATCTGAACAATTGGCAGAGTAAGAAGTTGGTGGTGTTTTGATTGTAAGCGCCATATATGCTGAGGGTCTGAGCTGCTTGGCCTGTGCTAACTGAATGGTTATAGTATGGTGTATCTACTCTGTCAAAGCTGTCATTCCCATGGGTCAGCAAAACTTCAGTTTTAGTTTAAAACAAGTTGTTCTTTCTATTTGTTTTAGGAAGGTTGAGAATGGTTTGGATAAATATGAATAAGCTATAAAAATAAATGTATAAAGTTAAACTGAAAAGAGCCACATACTATTTCTCATAACAGTATGATTTAACCAGATTATGACAAAGCAGGCAATGGAAATTGTCAGTACTGGTTTCTTTATAAAAGCACATGATAGTTTGAACTTTCAGTGTTGGTCAAAGCGTGTGTTTCAGAGGGTTACATTCAGCCTAACATACTCTGTATTTTTGCATTTCAGGTCACTTTTTCCTGCACCTGTGAGGACGAGTACATTGGGACTTTCTGTGAAGAATTTGATGCTTGCTACAGGAAACCCTGCCAGAACGAGGCCAGCTGTGTTGATGCAAAGGAGAAGCAGGACGGGAGCAATTTCACTTGTGTTTGTCTTCCTGGTATGTTTTCAGTCAGTACTTAGTAGACATCTCTCCTTGGAACGTGCCAAGGGTGGGTAAACAATGCTTTGTTCAGCTGTTGGGCAGTGACTACAAGATTTTACTTGAATTTATCAGTTTGTACATACACAGGGAATGGAAGAAGGATGTGCACAGGGGATAGCCCTCTTCCTTGGCTTGCTTTCTGATGCGAGAATGTTTTCATTTTTGCATTTACCATTTTTGTTCCTGGAAAATTATATTCTTAGTCACGTAACCACCTAGACGTCTCAGAAAACGATGGCACAGGCATACATTGAGATGACTTGGCACAGTTCTAGGTGATTATGTTAAGTCATTTAAGAACAATCTAGGATGGACTGCACAAGTTGTGCAAAGCCACCCCATCCTCCCATTGATATATTTCGCTTTGTTCCTGTGTGCTCCTCAGCCTGGCTTCCTGGCAGGCTGTTCTCTACAGTGGGGCAAGTCTTGATTAGTATGGTGTATTCTTGGAGAGAACATGAGACTTTGAGATCCTCCAAGCATTGGAACATCTTGATTCTGTTTTGAAACAGTGAGAAAACAGCAAACTTCTCTCTTCCCTTATGCAAAACATATACTGTTTTGCCTTTTTGCAGCCTGTTACCAGCTTCTGCTGGGGCATGGGGACTCAGGATGAGGTAAAAAGTGAAGCTGGAGAGAGGATGAACGATATAGGAGTTGCATACATTAGTCTCTCATTGTAAGAAACAAAACCTACAATGTAGAAACTTATAACTGAAAAATTCATTTATTTCCAAGCTTAATCAAATAATAGAAATCAGTTACTACTTTGGTGTATTCTTTTCCTGACCATATTTGCATGTGTGTGTGTGTGTGTGTGTGTGTGTGTGTGTGTGTGTGTGTCTGTCTGTCTGTCTGTCTGTCTGTATGTCTGTCTCATATGTCAGATGATTTTTTTATAGAACAATACATATAGTCCTTTAGAAATATATTTTAAAATCATCTAACGGGGCTGGAGAGATGGCTCAGCAGTTAAAAGCACTGACTGCCAGTATGGTTCTATAACTTTCTTTTTCAGATTATTTTCTGGTCAGTCATAGATACCCTTTGACACTGGCACACACAGAGCAACCTCATTCATTTGAACCATTAAGTAGCGTGTCTCTTACACCTGCGTCTCCACACTCACTCATCTGAAGACTGACTTGGCATCCCCTTTCAGAGTCCCAGGCAATCTAAGCTCAGTCATCCCTAAACAAGGCTCGTCATTGTTCCAGCCCCACATAGCCCATCTTGCAGTGTTCCAGCAAGACCGCTACACATCATTCTAGTGACCTTCTCCCTCTATTTCCACATTGTTTCTGCTTCCAAGTATCCTTTTTATAGTTGTGTCATTCAAGAATGTTTTTTCTATGAGAACATACCCGAGGAAGAAAGTGGAAGGAGGAAGGCCTTACTTGGGTTTATGACCCTGTGGTCACTTGGCTTTGTTGTTCTAGACCATGGTGACATGGACTATTATGACAGGGACGTGTGGAAAAGTGGAGCTGTTTACTTCATGTCAGCCAGGAAGCAGAGAGGGCAAGAGCAGAGGGTCTGGGAGCAAAATAGGCCTTTCAAAGCCACATCCCCTGTGATCTGCTTCCTCTGAGTAGGCCTCACCTCCTCAGAGCCTATCAGCTTGAACTTTTCAATAAAATAATCCACTGATGAAGCTAACACCTGTATCTGCAGCCAGGAAGCAGAGAGAGACGGCAGCTGGTGTTCACCCGACTTTCTCTTTTATGTACTTTTCACTCAGTCCTGGACTGCAGCCCATGGGCTGGTGCCACTCATATTCAGAGGGGGTCTTCCCTCAGTTAAAACTCTCTGGAAATGCTCTCAGAGACAAGGTCAGAGGTGGGTCTCCTAGGTGATTCAAAATCAAGTCACCAAGGAAGATGATGCATCACAGCACCTTACCACCTCTGAATAATGCCTCCAGCTGGTGATAAGTCTTTGATACAGGAAATTTCCACAGGGGGTCTTCACATCCAACCCATAATGCCATATACAGAACTCTCGTCTTCCCCAAAGGCTCTCTGCCACCAGTCCCAGGCCTGCTGCCTTCTTCCTTTGCTTATACTGTGAGGATAACCTCCCATAGTTTCTCTGTTCACTCTTGACCTGGCTCACACTGGAAATGGATGGATCATGCTAAATATGCTTCTAATAGCCATGTCTTGGTGTCCTGTTCTCCACATGACCACAGGTGATTGTTTTCAACAGGTATTTGATGTAGGTACTTTCTACTTGAAGTGGTACTTCTGCTTTCTCTTTGAACAAAGACTAAAACCTTGAGCTTTATTCTCAGCTGTGATGCTCTTTTGCCCGCCCTCTGGCCTCACATCCCAGTGTCTCCCTTGCTCTGCATTCTAATTATGCTGTCACCTCCCTAACAGCCTGAGCATCCTTCTACCACAGGGCCTATCCTCTCCTGTGTGCTTGGACAGCTCTTCCTCTCTGTCCCTTTGGTCCAGGTTAGTCACTGTCTTAGTGACTCTCTAATGTTGTGACAAAAACACTGACCAAAACCAACTTGGGGAGAAAAGGGTTAATTTCACTTTCCTCTTACAGCCCTTCATGGAGGGAAGCCAAAACAGGAGGTCAGGGCAGGAGCTGAAGTATAGACTCTGAAGGAGTGCTGCACGATCACTGGCTTGCTCCCAGGGATGGCACCCTCCACAGTAGGTTGGAACCTCCCACATAACCCCAACAGTCAAGAAATTGCCCCACAGACATGGCCACAGGCCAATCCAAGGAAGAAGCTTCCCCAATTGAGGTTCCTTCTAACCAGGTGTGTCAAGTTGACAACTAAAGCTATCTAGCACAATCACCTACAGATCTGTTTCAGACCTTTGTTACATGTCTTTTTCCCCCAGGAAATCTTGGCTAACTGCTTTAAGATAAATCTGTTTCCTTTTTTATAGCCTCACGCTCCTTTCTTGCACAGTTGCTGTTTTCAGCGTTTGCGAGATTCTTTGATTACTGCTTGTCTTTCTACCAGAGCTAAACCCCAGGAGAGGAGGGCCATAAGCATTTTGTTCATCACCGCATCCTACAGTGTGTGACGAGTGGTGGCTGCTCAGCTGGTGTGTGGATGGGGAGAGCTGTGGAAAGAGTACAGATGAAAGGTGACGGTTTCACTCGTTTCTCTACATGGGTCTTTAAAGTGTTTTCTCTTCATAAGTCACATTAGGGGGAAGCCTTCTAAAATACATGTCATTGTTCCCTAGTTTCAAAAAAACTCAAATTAAAAAAAATCCTGTATTTCAGATTATGGGTTTTTTTTGGGGGGGGGCGTTAGGGATGCTCAACCAGTAAAACCTATGCAGACATGCCCAAATCTGAAACACCTCTGATCCCAAGCATTTGGATAAGGGCTATTGGCCTGTAAGCTCAGTGATAGCTCATAGGTGGAGGTTTGCACTATCTGTGTTGAAATGATTATTGTTTGACAATTTTTTCAACTTAAAAATTATTTTTATTTTATGTGTATAAGTGTAATGCTTGCATGTATGCAAGTGTACCAGTGTCATGCAATGCTCACCATGCCAGAGAGGGTATCAGATCCCCTGGAACTGGAGCTATTGACGGTTGTTAGCTACCATATGGGTCCTGGGAACCCAATCTAGGTCCTCTGCAAGATCAGCCCGTGCTCTTAATTGCTGAGCCATCTCTCTAGCCCCTTGGTTTGATATTTTGTTCAGACCCATTCTCATTTCTCCATTTTTTGAAAAACATTCACTTGTATGGAACTAGAATGAAGTTTAAAATAATTTTTGATTAGTGCAAATGTTCTTTTTTATGTTTAATTTTTAGGTCAACATGCAAAGGAATGGGCTTTGCTATAACATTTTGATACACTTATATCATTACACTTAGTTCTTATTTACCTCCCTGCTGCTCTTCTCTGTCCACTTTTCTTACTGGTCCCCTGCCTCCTCCAAAGCGCCTTTCTGCTTGCACACCACATGCATGTAATGCCATCTTTTATTTCCCCTCCCTCTAGATATTTCTCTTCTTTCTAATAGTTCCTTTATGTGTGTGTGTGTGTGTGTGTGTGTGTGTGTGTGTGTTTATACACAGACGTTTAAGCCTACATTCCACACACAAGAGAAAGCATGAGCTTTGTCTTTCTGATTCTGATTTATTTTCTAAAACATAATAATTTCTATTTCCATTCGTTTTTCCTGTGAATGTCATACATTTAGTTTTTGATGAACAAGGTTCCACTTTGCATATGCACCATGTTTTCTTTACCCATTCATCTGGTGATGGCCATATAGGCTAGTTTCATATCTTGGCTATTGTGAACAGGGCAGCAATAATATGGATGTGTGAGGATATCTGTGGTATGTTAACTCAGGGTCCTCCAGATAGGTACCTAGGAGTGGGGTAGCTGGAGCCTATGGTAGCTCTGTTTTTAGCTTGTTAAGATACCTCCATATCAGTTTCCATAGTGACTGCATATATTTACAGTCCTACCAGTGGAATATAAGGGATCTTTATTCCCCACACACTCACCAGCATGTGTTGCTGGCTTTCTTGACAATAGCCATTCTGGCTAGAGTGAGATGGGATCTCAAGGTAATTTCAACTTGCAGTTCCCTGATGGATAAGGATGTTGAACACCTTGTCAAGTATTTATTTATCATTTGTATTTCTTCCTTTGTGAACTATTCTATTAATTAAAAGGATTAGGATGATGTCAATCTTTGGTTTATAATCACGGAGGTAGGTTTAGGGAATTGGAATGGTTTGAGTGCCATCTTAGTTGGGAAATCTTTCATTTTGTCCATGTGTAGCCTGTGTTTATATATTTACTAAGTACCAATGAAACTACCACCAAACCAGAACTGATATCTGATAACTAACCATGAATTCTCCTTATCTATCCATCTCTCCACCTCCATTTCCCATCTTCCCAGAGATGATCACTTTGGATTAGGAATTCATTAGCATTTTGCTTCAAA